GGCGCATCTTGATATGTCAATATACGGTGTCTACAAATGTTAGACACCATCCGCTATGTAGGAAAAGGCATTGACTTGAGTGAAGTTGCAACTTGATCCTTCGGTAACTCAATGGTAATGTCGAGCCTGACCTTTCTGGGACAGAGTTACTGTTTTCCTATCTGAATTATACTGTTCATGACCTCCATGAAGTACAATAGTATCCTAAGTTTATCCATTAGACCTTCCTATGCCTACTGGGATTCACGTTTATCCGCAAGGATTTCGTCAGATAAATCTTCCTGGAATTTCGAGCCTCCATACCTCTGCAAGCTAAGAAGGGGTACGGAGGGCTTAGCGGATTGATACAACTACAGATGATATGTTTACGGTACTGCGTATCATTCGGCGACCAAGAGATTAAAGCATGCCCAAAGTCCATCGCCTCTGGCAAACTTGTATAACTTACTCCTGACGTCGAAAAATTGTCACGAAGTACGAATTTGCAGAAAAGCAAGCAGCAAAAACGCCAAAGCTCTACTTCAGACATGTTTTGTACGAGCACGCTGAATACTGTCAATCGAGGAGATGAGTGCTGTTTTTAACGTTTATCGCTTTGCATGGTCGACGAGAGAGCAGAAATGCGGAGACGAGCACAGAGGGATCTGCACGGCAAATTTAATGGTGCATGCTACAACGAGGGCCGATGAGTCTTTGCCACACGCAGTAGCATGCCTTTCAATCGTTTGTGTCTTGTTTACCAAGCATGTTTTTTTCTTGATTTAGTGTCTGAGGTCTGCCCCTCTTCCAGGAAAAGGCCATTCTCTACGAAAACTTTCTTTACGCATTATTCATAAACAGGCCAACGTAACCATCGTATCCAATTAGAGCGACGTTTGGACCACCGACTGCTCGAATCGCCTATCACCATCCATCATACAACTATTTTTTTGAAGAAAAATGACAGCCCCATCGTTTATGGTGCGGACTCTAAATTATATCCATTTGGTAACGCCACCACAGGTTGACACGAACCTTGACCTGATATGCGCGCACCCGCTGACAATCTGGAAGCTGTTTTTCGCATCACTCAGCGAATTGATGCAATTGGTGAGCGCGATCCAGGTGTTGTCATGGGACTCTCGTGGTATTACATTAAGCTTATCCTACTAACTGGTATCGGCTGGGCCATGGATTCGATGGAAACGTTCATCTTTACCTATTGTGCCGCACTTATCCGTGAAGATATACCACAAAGCTCCCGTCAAGCCTCGTTTCTTGGTGGTGCTGTCTTTGTCGGCTCATTTATCGGCTCATTTCCATTCGGTACGCTGGCCGACAAATACGGTCGTCGGCCCATGTTTATGATCACACTCGTTCTTTTTTTAGTCGGTCTCGCCTTTTGCGCCTTAAGTTGGGACATCACCTCTATTACCTGTGCGCGTATCATCTCCGGCATTGGTCTCGGCGGTGAGCTGCCCATAGCCTCCACGCTCGTGCAGGAACTATCACCCAAGAAGACTCGTGGCAAAATTATTGTGCTGCTCGAGTCATTTTGGGCCATCGGCTGCATGATGGCGGTTATCATGGCATTCGGCGCTGCACCCAAGATTGGTTGGCGAGAAACTTTTTTTATCAGTTGCGCACCTGTAATCTATGCAGTCGTCATCCGGCTGTGTATTCCGGAGTCGCCTAAATGGCTGGCGAGCGTCGGTCGCTACGATGAAGCCGTCGCTATAGTTGAGTCTATCGAACGTGCACATGGTGTGAACCTGTATTGCAAGAGTGAAGCGGAAACCGGCGAATCGGTTACACCGATTTCGCTTCAGCTTCCAAGATCTCACATCAAGCGCATCAGAATTCTTTTTCAACGCCAGTTCTGTGTGCGCACCACTGTCTTGTGGACGCTATGGTTTGGTATCTCCATGTCGTACTATGCTATCTTCATATACCTTCCCATGCTGATTTCTCTCAAAGGCTACAACCTGAATGGTCAGTGGGAGACGATTTTAATCATTACAGCTTTCCAGCTTCCTGGCTATTTCGCTGCCGCGGGACTGGTAGAGGTCATAGGCCGTAGGCATACCCTTGTGCTTTTTCTCGTTGGCTCCTTCGCATCTGCAGTTGCCATGGGCTACGTGAAAGCTTCCCAGATTCCAGTTATGGTAACTGGAGCATTAACATCCTTTTTCATGTTGGGTGCATGGGGATGCGTGTACGCGTACACTCCAGAAAATTATCCAACGGCGATTCGCGGCGTGGGTGCTGCTTATCCGTCGGGATTCAGCCGTATTGGCTCCTTCAGCGGACCGTACCTATGTGCCTCAATGTTCGGTGACTGGAATGTATCTCTCGCGGGAATTATGTGGACTTTTGGCGGTTTGTTAGTGGTGATTGCAGCCATTGTGCAACTCTTCGGTTACGAGCCTCATGGCAAAAATGTTGAGTTGTACGATGACGATCCATCTGAACAGTCCCATGACTTTAAAAGCGTGCATACGCCAGCGTAGCTCAAGTAAAAGCGTTATATCATCATGAATTATTTAATTTCAAGCTTCGTCACATGAGCTAACTTTTTTTCAATTTTGAAGTGTGGTGGACCGCAGCCATTTTCTATGTCTGATCAGTCGTTTCCCATTACGAGCCATCAGAAGTTAGGAAGTCGCTTCAGAATATGGCGATATCAATAAATAAATCCGCCGACCGGCAAGGCGATGATGATTCATATGTGAGTTCTGGCCCAAAAAAACATTATCTTGTTAAGTCAGCCTCGCAACTAAACCTCATCATAAGGGCTACGACGCCTCAATACAGAGAAAATTTGCTTGAGATACCAGCCCTGGCGAAATCACAGATGGTCTGTTCTACTAGGCACCAAGGGCTGCCTAAAGAACTGCTACGCGGGAGACCGAACATTTTGTACAAATGCTTCGATTTTTGTCACATCCCCACCCCTTTGTACAGGAATAAAGCGGTCACTGCTTGTCAGCTCGATGGACTCAGTGTTACTTTCCCAAACGAATTCAACTTTTCTTAGCAAATTTTGCGGAAACATTCAACTTCAGCGAAGTTCCAACCGATGACCTAATGACAAAATCGTGCACTCTGACCAAGGATCTGTGAACTGCCGTTCACTTAGAGTTTGTATACTCTTGGAAGT